AAATTGGCGTAAGACAGACGCTGCGCAAACAAAGTTCGCAAACAGAGCTAACCGAGACTGGGTGTTGTCCCACGCAGGCCACGTAAAATGCATGTGAGCACTTCCTGAGTGCGCTTCTCTGAAATTTGCGTCCGGCGTTTTCCCACACTTTTTTCTCTCGCGGCAGGGGTTCCCGCGGAAAACCGACACAGAAGCTACGCAAACAAATTTCACGAACAAAGCTAACCGAGACTGGGCTTTGTCCCACGCAGGCCACGTAAAATGCATGTCGGCACTCTGTCTGTGTCCACGCAAAAACGAACAACCTTACAACGCGCGCGTTTACAGGTTGACGGAGCGTTGTTGCTGTTGCTGTTGCTGTTGCTGTTGCTGTTGCTGTTGCTGTTGCTGTTGCTGTTGCTGCTGCTGCTGCTGTTGTTGTTGTTGCTGCTGCCGCCGATGCTGCTGCTGGCTGCTGAGGCTGCGGCTGCTGCTGCTGCTGCTGGTGGTGGTGGTGGTGGTATTGTTGTTGCCGTGTTGCTGCTGCTCTTGTCGCTCTTGTTGATGTTGCCTTGCAGCAGGTCTTTGAATGAGTTGATTTGTTCGGGTGCTCGCGTGTTGTGGCCTAACTCATGGGAAAGACCAGGTTGGCATTTTGGATGTCGCGGCTCGACTGCAGTTTGCCTTGTCCGTGTTGGCGTCGTCTGGCTGTGCCAAAGCAGTCACGAAGCTTATTTCCGAGGATGTCGATCCTTTCGGCATTGGAAAGCATCACATGCGGAGCTCTTTGGATCATTCCTTTGTACACCGAGCTGCGCTTTGGGCTTGTCGTTCATGCCTAAGTCGCATCTTGCAAATCCTGGCGGCTCCGAGAATGCTGAAAAGCCTGAGGTGTACATGCTGTTCTTCCAGGGCGGCAAGAAGGTCGGCGCGAGGAACACTTGTCGGGTTGATTCGATTTGTACCGGGGTGTTCGGGCTTGTACTGGCACGCACCAACCTTTGTAGGTCTACGCCGTCGCCATTGAACCGACATATCAGAAGGCCACACACGGCGACCTTTCACCGGGCCATGCCGCGCCATGTCATCGTCGCCCTTCAGGCCAAGAAGAAGCTCCCAGACGAGCTCCTTAAGGAGCTGGACGAGGTCCGGTTTAGGGTTTAGGGTGCCTGGCGAACGCGTCAGTTGTGTCAACTCCCACACGAATATGAACCCTTGTGATCTAGAACCAAGGACCCCCAGAAGTTTCTGCTCTCCATGGGCCAAAAAGGCATTGCTTTGCGAACGAAAGACTGACATGCTGCAGCTTCTGAGTTCTGGCGCAGGCAAAGAAATGGCGATGCAGTTGGTCGAACAGCTGAAGGCAAAGAGTGCCGAAGCTGCTTCGGCCCCGGCGAAAGAAAAGAAGAAGGCAGCAAAGGCGCAATGTCAGGGTTTCTCATGGCACCAGTTGCTTGTGGAGCACTTTGCATCTATGCTCAGCCGCGAACTTCTCTTTGCAGACTAGCTGACTGGCACACATCAGATTACACGACAGGCCAAACGTATTTAAACGATGTACGCTGCCACTGTTGCTGTTGCTACTCGTGTCAGGCCAAGTGAGAGACATTCAAAGGCTCACCACGCCTTTCTTGGGCTGCGAGCACCCGGGGCATTGCCCCAGCATTGAGCGCGACCCCTTCTTCGCAAAGACCCGAGTTAAGACTGGCACACAAGCTGAAGATGTCTCAAGTTTTTTGTAGCTTCGGCCAAGTGCCGAGAATGCTTGAACAACACGACCGTCGTCTGACAAGCTTCCCTTTGCCGTTAGCTTGTGTGCAAGAGCATTCCTGTGCTAACCTGGCAGCTGTTACAGATGAGGCCAGGCCAGAGACTAGAATGGACAGAAAACCTTCAGAGAAGTTTGCTGACGGCTGCGCATAGCAGCTGATCAGAATTGTTATAGCGGTTTTGCGGACCATCCTTTACAACGAAAAAGGGCGGCACCGTGTTTTGATCAAGCTGACGTTTTCTGATGCTCCAGCAGCCCTGTCGTGGCGATAGACGCTTTGTATGACCTTTGCTGTGCTTTCGTTTCTCCGAGGTTGCTTGAATCAGCGGCAGCCTGCCGTGGTGATCTGCGGCGATTTCGCGCAGTTCCCGGGGAGAGCGAGCGAGTGAGTGAGAGGGACAAAGCATGTACCCAGAAGTAGCCATGTGTTTTCTCGGTGGGACGCCCTCGTTGTTGCCAAAGGAAACGGATCATCTCGGCCTCTCCGGATGAGCCAGAGTCTGTACTCAGTCAGATGCGGGCGGGTCTGCAACGTAGCAAAGGATAACCGGATAACCGAACATCGCGATCATCCAAGTGATTCTATGTGTAAGTGCCAGTTGAATCTTGCGCGTAGAGTTAGGACCTCGAAGCCATCGCGTGCAGCGAGACAAAATTGATCGTAGAGCTCGCGCCTCTGTTCAAAGTAAACATGCGAGTCCCTGAGGTCTCATGTGCATGGGTTTGTCTGCTGTTCGTCCACAGGTTCGAGGCTACGTAATGGACCTGGGCATTGTCAGCATGAAAAGCTCCGAGCACCCGCCATCAACACACACCATGCGTAGTAGGAGTGTAGTATCTGCGCATAGTTTTGCATGAGGCGCTGCGGATCGGATGTGTACTTTTCATAAACCGGTACTCAGCCCTAAACCTTACAGAGATTCCGAACTGCAAGTGGCAACAAATCTCCTAAGACAACCCCACACCTAGACTGAGACTGCAAAGCCTGCAGGCGCCAAACCCAAAAGCCCACGAATACCCCTCGAAGCCCCATCATGACCCATCAATGCATCACATGCGATATGCCCAACTGCTTCCGTGTTGTATTTATCCTTGGCATTGCACTGTGCAGCTTCACCGTCGTGTCTTGTCTTCTGAACCAGACAGTACTGTAAGTTTCACAAGTCATTGCTGCGAATCTCGTTGCTGAGCTGCCTCCCCAATGCAGCGTGTCGGCTCCGATCCAAATGCGGCATTGGTATTGCCTGGGTCGGCAAACTCAGAGACGACCAGACCAAACCACTCCGTCAGAGAGAAGCATGGATGCAGTTTGAGCCTCGCGTTGCCACCTGTGGTCAGTTGTCAATGCAGTATTCAGTAGCCACTCGCATAATTTGTGTTGACAACATTTGCTTGTTCATGGCTTTGGCGAGCCATGCACATCGAAATTCCCACTGTTGGTCCCCGACTTGCCAGAGAGGCCCTCTTGTAACTGTATAGGGGGCACTTGATTCACCAGATGTCTGCATCCCTTCGGAGGCTTCGCCTGCCTTGAGCGCACACAGTGAAGCTCGATCCCACTTGAGCTCGGCGGTGGAGGCTGGTTGTATTTGGTTGTCATGGTCGCAATTTGTTTGTAGGTTCGTTCCGTGCGCATGCCAGGGCGTGCAACCTAATCGACTTTGCATCTTGTCGCCCATGACATGAGATGTCGAATTTGCTTGCATCAGACAACACGTCTCCGCTGCGAATCAATGATGGTTGCTGAAGTGTAGGCTTGGCCCCTTCACGCTTTGCATGGCTGCAACTGCATGGATGGATTACCAAGCGAACCTTACTGCAGAGCGACAGCTCCGCTATACTTGGCCTCCCATCATCGACTTGCAGCTTTCGGGGTTGCACGGCCGTGTCTAGCATGTACACTGTCAGTTTGCTAGCATTAACCCAGCAGCCGATAGCGCAGGTGCTTCTCGATTCCGCCGTCGGACGTGAAGATGACAGATCAGGCCAACGGCACTAACGGTCAAAGCAATGGGTGGTAGCGCAACATCGCCATCAGAGCCAAAACTTGTTTCGCAGATCCTGACCAGGTGCCATGGGATTGCTGAGTGGTGAACCAAGTGCAAGAACGTCGGGGCCCCATGACGACAGTGCCGCGCAGCATGACAAGTAGTTGAGACCCCACACCATTGTAGGGGGCCTTTGAAAGTGCTACTTGCGTGCAGCGGTTGCAGAGCTCAGGACTCATTCTCGTTTTCGAGATGTGTTGGGCATTGGCGTGGCTACTTTATTGCACTTGTTTGTGCATCGAAGCAAGTGGTGCTGTGCAGTCGAGACAGTACGCGGCTTCGAGGTTCTCATCACTTTGATCGTCGGGGTGCGCCCGCCACCTGCAGATGCCAACGTCCGGCGTGAGATCGATCGGCTAAGCAGCTGGCAAATATGGGGCAGGTCTGGTTCCTTTTCTGGATGCGTCGCGTACTTGCCTCTACCTCAGGATGTTTGCAAGGCTGCAAGTACAGCCCACCCACCAGCACCGCACCCCACCCCCACCCACCCACACCCACTGCCACGCCCACGCGCTCAGCTTCGCTTTCGCTCTCAGTCTCTCCATCTCTCGTTCTCTCGCTCTCTCTCTCTCTCTCTCTTTTCCTTTCCCTCTCGCGCTCTCTCCCTTACTCTCAGTCTTACCCTCACGCCACCAGCAACACCACCAGCACTAGACGAGACGTGATGCATGCATGCCAACATAACCAAGGTTCCGCTCACTTTCGCTTTGTTCCTTGCCTTCCTGTGCGAGCCTCTCCTAGCTTTCATGGTCACCGCGCCAAGGCCAAGAGCAAGAGGACACATCTGCTTGACATAGCTTAGGTATAGGAATTTGGGCAGGTATGCGGCCAGAAGGATGCAGCTATGCAAGGAACATCGTTCCGGTGACAGGCATGCTGCATGCAGCTGTCGTGCAAAAACTGGGGCGTCTCCATGGAGACCGAGCCTAAGAGGAAGCCTCACGACCGCAATGGGGTGCCAGTGGGACGAGCAGAGGAGCCTCCTTGTAGCGTGACTGCGCCGACTGCTTGTGCAATGGTGTTCGCATGAGGAAGATGTCAACTCTTCGGATCTCGATAGCATTGGAAGCGCCAGCGACACAGCTGTGTCTCCCAAGTTGTTTGGCTTCAGCTGCCTGGACAGACAGGTGACAGGAGCAACAGTTACTTGATTGATGGTTTGAGCAGGGCTCCTTTCGGGGCTGTTTTGAGGCTGCCAGTATGACCGTCAGCGACTGTGACGGGCAAGCGGCCAAGACCTGCTGTGCCTCGCCTGGAAAAATTGCTTCCCAATGTCCCAGTGGACCTGGCTGGCCATGCCCTGCGGGATTGCGACTCCAGGCGCTTCGTGCAGCAAATGGTTGCAGCAGCTGCTCGTCATGGGAGCTTGCTGAACATCCGGAGCTGAGCGAGCGGTTGCCTAGATGAACCTAGGATATGGGGCTTTTTTGCAGTCATGATCCTGGTTGTGACGCTCCTGGCGACACGCTGAGCAACTGTGTCCGCTTCGACACCAATTCCCTTCTTCGGCAGCTCAGAAAAGCCAGAGACAGGCTTAGGAGCCTTTCCTTCAGCTGCAGGCTGTGACTTTCTTGATCTTCTATGGTGTTGTGCGGGGCTTAGAAGTGCTATGCGGTACCTCTTCGCTCCGGTGGCTTCAAGCGGCAAGCTGTTCTGCAAGTGGACTGTTTCGATGCGAAGTCGAGGTCAAAGTATTTGCTGATTTCGACTGGAGCCGGTTGCCTGGGACGACTTGCATCCCAACCGGATGTTGATAGGATAGAGGACATCACCACGATTCACCACGCATCTCAAATTCTGAGGCCAATTCTCGGATTCTGCCAAGATGCGTGATATGCAGTCGCTGCCTGAGGGGCTTGAGAAATATTGGGTCTTGGCACAAGATCCCGTCGATGCAGCATTCTGCCAGCGGGAAAGGTCGCTCCTTAAAAAGGCAGGTATTGTCCTGGCCTCAGTCCGTTTCCAAGGTATCGCATTGCAGGCTCAATCCAGCTGACAGACAGCGAAGGTTGACGGCAAAATGAACGTAAACTTTCAGAAAGTGGCGGCCGAGTTTAGAAGTCTCTGGGTTGCAATGACCAGGACAGTGCAGAGCCTGATGTGCTGGTGCATTTGATCCTCTCTGTGTATGCTCGCCTCGGCCTGACTGGTGTTGCAGCCAAGGTTATCTGGTAGACACAGCCTCGACATTCTTCCACTTCGTGGAAGGCTACTTGAATCACGTATCGAGAGCTTCTGATGTGCACTTGCTTCTGGAGGATTCATGCTGTGCGTCTTGATGTTCATCTTTTGCCTGATCGGCATGCTCCCAGAAATCAATTCAGTCCGCATCTTGCCCAGAATTGGTTTTGGCTCTCTCTTAAGCCTCTTCTGTCTCGTTGATGTAGTTAGTTGATCTTGCATCCTAAGGTGTGTGGTCGTACTCCTCATGAAGGTATGTAGGCCAATTAGAAGGGTTCTCAAAAGCAGAGCCTGCCAATCTCGTCTCCTCTGTACTGTACTGCTTTTCGTGAAGGCTGCGTTTGTGGTTCCTGCCTTATCTCGAGGGTGCAAGTCGAGCATTTGTCTCTCAAGTTACCTCAACTGATTCGGTTTGGAATCTCAAGCGTACCTCTAAAGTATCTCAAAATGTCGGCTGTCTTTGCTGCTACAGCTGCAGCAGCACGCTTGGCAAGCGTATGCAGCACGCACGCTTGACCACGAATCAAGCGAAGGTCACGAGGACAATCTTAGGCTGACCGGCCCCAATGCCAAGCCATGTAGAATCCCAACGCTATGTCATTCCATGCAACACCGTGCAGGGAGCACCATGTTTCAGTCTGGAGCTAACCTCCGAACCAAGCACAATCGCTTCCTGCAGTTAGCAGAAATTGGGCCACAGGCTCCGGGAGGGGACGTGATCATGCGGGCTCCCGATGAACAAATAGACCGTTTCCGTCGTTAAAGCATAACTGATGGGAATTGTTCATGTTCGCCTGCATCTGCGATTAGGTCCTGCTAGTAGGGCGAAGCAGCTAAGGACGCCCATCTCCGGTCAAGGATTTGGATTTGCTCTCAGTTCCTGTAGCCATGACATGCAGCTGCCGATTCGTTTTGGGTTCAGGTGCAGAGGTACTTGATCGTCAAGTGCGTGTGCAGCCTGTTCGTAGCAGCTTCTGGGCAAGACGAGCCGAGACATGGTATGAGATTATATGATACAACTGTTGCAGAGAGCCCGCAAACAGCGTTCCGAAAACAGCTCCGCCCCGATACACCGATACACCGTTGCACTCGTGAGCGCAAGTGCGGCGTATCTCCGTTTTCCCTGGTGGATCGGTGCATCGGCGTACTTCCATTCCGGATCGGCGTATTTCCCTTCCGCACGCCCGCTGCAGGCCTCTCACGGCGTAAGCCTGCTCCGATACACCGGCACGCCGCTGTGGGCCTATAAGGGCCGCACCGATACACCGTTACACGTAAACCGGATCCGCGAATATCGGCATAATAGTTCCCTTCCGGGGCGCTGTATGAGAGTTCAGATTTAAAATTCCGGGGCGTCCCATCGGTCGAAGGCTCCATCCTATCAGTCCAGGAAACCAGGGCGCCCCGCCAGGCGAAGTCTCCATCCTTTCAGTCCAAGGGTCATATAAGAGCTCTGATTTTAAGATGCGATCGGCGTATCGGTGTCTTTCCCTTCCGCGTCGGCATGTCGGCGTATTGCCCTTCCGTGACCGGCGTATCGGCGTATGTCCCGTCCGTGCGCCCTCGACCGGCGTATCGGCGCAAGGCTATTTGAGGACACTATTTGCAGGCATGCTGATTGTCGCACGATATGTTATAAAATGATAATACAATATACTAGTACCGCAATATACCACCATATGAAATTGTACATTATCATGCCAAAATATAGTTATTTAGACATGATACCTCATATCAAAAGACCGTAGCATACTGTGAATAATATTACACTACAGTTCAATACAACATACTCTGCGGTAATATGACACTGTGTAATGTGATAATGATATGCTATGTTATGGCATCATACACTACCACATACTATAGTATGCCATCATACTGCGTATCGTACTAGAATGGAGCAGAATAGAATATAGAATACTTCTTCTACTATACTATACTTCACTTTTCTATGCTCTGCTGCTATGCTATACTAAACTAACTTTACTTTACCTTACTTTACCTTACAATACAACACTATACTATACTATACTATACTATACTATACTATACTATACTATACTATACTACAACATACAACATACTACAACATACTGCAGTACCCCACACTTTTCTACAATATGGTAAACCACGTATGGCACAGTACACTATACTGTATCAAAATCCAAGATAACGTTTTCATATCATATCCTGCCATATAATATAATTACCAAGATAGCAGGCAAAGCTCGTCTGTCGCTCCTCGAGCTCAGGTTCTGGTCATGTGTGCCCTCTGGGCAATGCAGGTTCCTCTTGTCGTCGTGGAGGGCTTATTGCTTTGATGTTGGACAAATGCGCAGAATTCCAACTGCACACTTTGCCTGCCCGAACCCATAGGTTTGGGGACTCGTCACTTTCGTGACCAACTTCATTCCCAACCTAGGCCGTGTTGCGGCACTGTCACCTTAAGGCAGGTTTTCACAGGGCATTGCTGCAAGTCGATGGTGAAGGTCCTTTGTTTGCTACTCTGGCACCGATCCCCTTTGTTTGGCTAAAGCCTGGCGGGACGTCACTTGCCTGCAGCGGAAATGGGTCCCACGGCACTGAGCATCGTCAAGCAGTTCTATCTGAGTCATGCTCCCTGATAACATGTCCGGCTTATTCTTGTCAGTTCCTTGCCAGATATACTGTTACACATACCTTTACACAAGATGAGGCTGCTCGACACCTTCATTGTGATTGTCGTCCAGTTCATGGTCTCCAGCCCGGAATGCATGCAAGCACATCCCTTGGGGAGTGACGCCACGAAAGCCTCTGTGTTTTCTGCAAGGTGCACAACATTGCCGGCAACATAATTGAGCCACACATCATGTCGCAGGGACTCTTCCTTAGCCATGGAACAGTATCCAAGACTTCATGCTCACCCTCTTTCTGCAAGGGCTCCTTGACTCATCGTCAGGTCTGGAGCTGCACCCGTTGACGATTGTGGTCGCCCTTATGTCGGCTCCATAGCAATGTCCCACCACTGCTGCGTTTGGGCGGATATGCCCCCTTTTTGGGTGCTTCAACACAGCAACACCCCGACCAAGACAGGTAGACACCAATAACCCATCCATGTCATCCGGCTGACATGGCAATTTCAGGTCTTGCCAGGGTGGTCATGGATGTCAAGCATGTCCTCACGCATTACTTTGACTTGGATTATCACTGTGAATGGTGGGTCACTGGTTTCTTGTGATCGAAAAGATTTCGACTTCGGATCGAGAGTAGGAACATGTTGCCCAGCCAAATCCCGGTGTAAAGGCGGGCGACATGTTGCAAAAGGAGTCGAGTACAACTGGAGGCTACATGTATGAGGCCCTGCGCAAACACAAACAGCGATTCCGGAAGTGCCAACAACTGTACTGACTGCACGAGTTTGATGGAACGGAACGGATTGACATGCACTTCCAGATCATGAGCTGCACCTGCCTGCGTGCCTGTGCGCCTCTGTAATTGTTGTTACTTGGTCGCTCCTTTGTTTGTGTCTTTGTGTGTCTGTGTGTGTGGGTGGATATGATTCGCTTCCCGAGGTTTTGGAGCAGCGTGTGGGGAATTGCAGGCTGCTATATGCCTGTGGTGAGTCGCGAGCACGAGGGCTTAGCACGAGCTTTGCTCAGGAGCTGTGCTCTCCGTTCCGATCAGTTGCGTACTTCGTTTATGGCTTGGAGAACTCGACGATCGTCGTGCTCAGCGCTTGTACAGACTCTTGTCACGGTGTCCTGTTGCCAGGTGCAAGTGGTGTTTGCAGCGGCACTACTTTATTAAAAAAGCTATCTCATACTCACTGCTGCCCAACCTGAGCGAAGGATTGTTCGATGATCCACTGGGATGAGCTCACTGATCTCAGACAGTACAGCTCTTGGCACAGTTGCTCAGCCGCGGTGTCGCGGTCTCTTGCTGCTTCGGTTTCCACTTGTATTCGTGGCGGTCCATGTACAGCCGCCGAATTCGTCGACATGAGAGCTCTGCTCTACAGTTGTTGACAGTTCAACCAAAGAGTTGATGTCAGCTCAGATCACGGAAAGCGAACGGCGACTGGAAAGACCTGACTGCAGAACGGCTCTACTACAGCGGCCTGGGTCCACCTCAGTGAAGGCATTTTCAGCTGTTGGTTCTTCTGCAAATGTTCAAGCAACGGACGCGAGAGTATCAGCATTTCCGCCACGCTTACCACTGCTGGAACTCGTGCTCGGACGATCTCGGACGTGCGTCCATTTTGGCTCTGCAAACATAAGCTTGTCGAACCCGCTAAGCCTTCATGCTGCAATAGCTGTAGAATTAATCAGCCGCGAGCAAACCGACGCTCGGGCAAGAGTTGGCGACCACTTAGGTTTAAAGATTTCCCTCCGGCGGAGTACTGCCGGCCGTGACATCAGATGCGTATGAGTGCATCTTACATGTTGCGTTTCGCTGGCTCGCAGTGCACAATTGAAGGCACTCATACTCAAGTCAAGGGTCGGATCTTCAAGCCTCGGATTCCGAAGCAAGGCAACAGAATCGAGCATATTTCGGTGTTTATGGCACAATGACTGATTTGCCGGATGTGCAGCTGGACTCGCCCTCAGCCAGCCGCAATCTGGGGCTTTTGGATCTGCCTTCACCCACCAGTTCAACTTCTCCTCCTCGCCTACCCCTACGAAGCCGCTCTGCAGCTGCCCTTTGGCAGAATGCCCGACTGAGCCTCGTGGCGTCGCCATGTCTGGAGCACGCTGATCAAATCTACAGCACAGAAGCCGAGGGGCCGGGAAGTGACCCGACCAGTCGGTGCTCCAGTCCGGACGGCTACCAGCGACGTGCAGTGAAAGACTTGCGTTTCAACATGGGCGGCTTGGGCAGCTTGGGCTTAGAAAGCCTCGCCTTGGAACGGCGCCTGGCACCAGAGAGAGAGGAGTTTCTCTGCCAACAACTTGACGAAGCCTCAGACGAAATTGACCGTCTCTGCGTGGAGCGAGATGATGCCTTGAAGAAGGTTCATGATCTTGCGAAAGTCCTTCGCGAGCAAGATATGGCGCAAGAAAAGTCTTCCAGAGATCTTGTCTCAGTAGCACGCCATCATCACGATGACGGGAACAGCTCTGACGACAACACGGTACGTGGGCATGAGCGGAGAAGAGCATCATGCCCTGCGAATTGGCCGCCGCCAAGTCCTGAACAGGAGGCATCCAAGCCTCCTAAGCCCAAGGTGGACAGTGCGTCGATTTTTGAAGAACGACGCCATTGGCATCAGGAGCTTCAGGAGTTCGAAAGCTACCAAGACAATCTGAAGCAGACGGAAAGAGAACTGAGGGAGGAGGTGCGGGCTGCATGGTGCGAGTCGCAGTCAGCGATCGAGCGTGAGAAGCCCAGCATAACATTGACATGCTTCTGCTAGGCGGCTGTGCAAAACATATTCTGCTCGTGCCATTTCGCGAGTGTTCTTCTTCTCAGCTTAGAGATGAATCCAGCAATTGTTGCCTCCTGAGCCATGCAAGGCATGAGTTTGCAAGAGGTCCAGATGGAAGTGTGGCGAAGCGAGGTCGCGCAGGCATGGCAAGAGTTAGAAAGAGTGGGGACTACAAGCAATTTGAACAGCAGCCATGTGGCAGCCTTGCTGGGTTTTTGCCTTTGGTGATGCCTCAGGCTCGAGAGATGCAAAGTGAAGAGGCCGTCATGCGATACAAGGAGTCCATCAGCTGCAGCATCTGTCTCAGTGTACTGTGCAGTGGGGCCTGGCACAATGCGGTGCGCCTCAAGCCTCGAGCCAGGCGCGCAGCAACACAGGCTGAGGCCTCGAATCGGCCATGTGCATTTCGGAGACGTGTGGATTCTAAGAGCAAGTGTTGCGAAGGCAAAATCTACTCACGACTCTGGCACTGCAAGCCTCTCTGCTTGTGAGTGGATGCTTCGGAGCCTGGAGCTACACGGTGCCACTTGTCCGAAGAACTGTAGCTGTAGCTACTGAATGCACCATGTGGCTGAAACGGACGGCCGCCTTGGCCCCGTGTCGAAGAGCGGAGGCTCCTGGCTGAGGAGGCTCGTCCTTAGGCTCCTGCATGGGCTTGCCCGACTCTGTTTTGTGTACAAAGGCAACCTCAGCGCGGTGCATGCAAGCGCATGCAAGCTGGTCATGAAGCTTCCATACTGTGTCGTGGTTCGTTGCGGAGTGCTGAGGGGTACTGGAGAAATGAGGCGACAGAATCACTTCCCAACACTTGCGTGCGGTTTTTTGGTTGGATGGGAACCTGAGACTGCGACGGTTGATGCAGTGTGCGAGCAAGTCCGATTCACAGGTGCCATGAAAAAGATTCCAAAACATGGAATCCTGGATTCGCCCAAAACGCGGTGTAGACCGGGGCAGGCTGGCTTGCTCAGATGGCATTACCCCCCCAAGCAGGGCAGGGAATGCAATCAGATAAGGCCCCGACATGCACGCAGGCCCGCAGCACTAGATTCACTAGATCTCATTTGAAACCAAGGCTACGAGCCAAAGATGCAGCACTGCGACAGAGGCTCGCTTCACGGATGGACACCCGACTTGTTCAGCTGAGCCATCCAGGTTTCCGCATATTTCGGCATCAGAGGCCCGGGATTGAAAACGTCTGAGCATGCTTGTCACTCGAGACTGGGAGGCAAGCGGCACGAGCCTTTGCGTGAGCAGGCTTCTGCAGTGTTTAGGTTCAGTAGCTCAAAAAGCGGTAGAACGTTTCGGGAACAGTCTAGTCTAGAGGCAGTAGGGTAGCTCGAGCGATGCCGATCGGTCAGAGATGGTGACCACCAGCTTGCCACCAGCTGTTCCGACAATCCTGGGTGGTGTCCATGGGCAGGAGCAGCACAACAGATGCACCCAAATGCCTGTGCAGACAGCCAGTGCAAGTTTGTCGGTTTCTCTTTTTTGCCTATCCATTCTGCTCAGGACAACGTGTTTCTGGGAAACGTTGGCTGGGTCGCAGTGGGGCTTGGTGCCGTGCTGACCTGTCGGTCTTCCAGCCGCAGCTATGGCTCGTCGTGTTTCGCTCCATGCGGTTTTGCAAAACCATGCAGCAACCCAACCAACCCAACACTTGTAAACAACAAGCGGATAAGCGGACCCTCTGAGGTTTGCGTTGCCTTGGACGCGGCTGCTCCGAGACAAACGGGACTTGGAGCATGGCAGAATCGGCGACCTTGCCCCGGATCCTGGTAAAGACGATGGGTCCGGCTGCTTGCCTGGCACTTGCACGACCAAGTGAGCAGCCAGTGCCAAGTTCAGGTTGTCTCGGCAATTTAAGGATGGGCCATTCCAGCAGCAAGCCCTGCAATGCAGCTGCGCAGCTTAGCGGCCGTACGGCAAGAGAGATGCCCCGGCGGCGGTGGCGAGCAGATTTGCGAAGGCTCGAATGTCGTGGTCGTACGGCAGGGCATCACGCCAGCCTCGCAGTTGCGCAACTTTGTGCCCGGCAATGTCTATCCAGAGTGGAGATCCCGTGAAAACCCGGTCAACATCGCTGAAGGCCGGATGGAGACCCCGGCAATCGTGCTGGAGGATGCTGGTCACGCTCACCAAAGCCAGAGCTCGGAGACGCAACCCAAACCTGCGGGAGTTGATGACGAGACTCCTGGGGAGCCTGGCAATCATTCCAGTCTCTCCCCCGATGGCGATGCAGACGGCGCCAGCAGCTTGCCGTGACCAAGCATTTTGCTTCTTCAGCAGACCGCAGGACTGAGTTGAAGAGCCATAGTGCTAATAGGCTCCTGCAGGCTCATAACGCTGATTCAAGCGAGGGCCGTGAGGGCAGTCATGCGCAGCAATTTAGCCGTCGTGCCGTTTCGTGCATCAGACTAGTCAGATTTGTGGTACTTTGGTGGAACAGAGCGGAAAGTCGGAGATTTTGCGTGCACCGGAAACAAACTTAAAGACAGGAAGCTCAAACTTCAAAGCTGCGTGGTCTCACCACCAACGTGGGATTGACCAAGCAATGTGTGGACTGTAGCAATGCTTGCTCAAAAAACCAGCGGAGCATTTGCCACTTCCACCGGGTGGCAGTGCTGATGCTGACGATGCCGATGAAAAGCATGCGCTTTGTTGCCTAAAGGTTGTACAGTTGGGGGAACCGTCTGCCCAGGAAATTATGTGTATTGGTTTTCGGGACTCTGACTCATCTAAGGATGGGCCATTCCAGCAGCAAGCCCTGCAATGCAGCTGCGCAGCTTAGCGGCCGTACGGCAAGAGAGATGCCCCGGCGGCGGTGGCGAGCAGATTTGCAAAGGCTCGAATGTCGTGGTCGTACGGCAGGGCATCACGCCAGCCTCGCAGTTGCGCAACTTTGTGCCCGGCAATGTCTATCCAGAGTGGAGCTCCCGTGAAAACCCGGTCAACATCGCTGAAGGCCGGATGGAGACCCCGGCAATCGTGCTGGAGGATGCTGGTCACGCTCACCAAAGCCAGAGCTCGGAGATGCAATGCGACATTGAGGACTCCCTCACGCAGAGCCCCAAGTCAGTTGAAGCATCGGCACCTGGTGTTAATCCAGCTCTGCACATTCGTGAGATACGTTCGTGCCTAGCAGTGCGACAGCAGTTTCGGGCAGAGCTTGAATCCCGGGTAGCTGATTTCGTTCAATCTGAAGAGCTGCTTGGTAGCATTATCAGGAACGAGAAGTCAGAAAGACAGCTCGAAGAGCGCTTGGCTGAGGCAAAGGAGGGAGGGAGTGAAAGCTCCCCCAAGCGAAAAGCTAAAGGCCCATACATGTTGTCGGTTGCCTTGAAGAGCGTAAATGGAGACCGCGATCTCCAGACCATGCCCGGCCAATGTTTTCATGGGTGATCAAAAAATGCTGAGTGGCGCGAGTTTCAGCTGGCAAGATCTGCTTCCCCCCGTTTCACCCTGAAGCCGGCTTTCAATGAAGGCAGCACCGAGGTGTGTGGCAGTTTGTGCCACGCCAGCTCTCGACGTTTGCGAAGCAAATGCGTACCACGATTTAGTGTATGATAGATTTATAGCGTGCGCGACCGCAGACCTTGTACAGGCACGTGCACCAACCTCCACATGAAAGCGAGAGCACATGGGGGCTGGGTTTGCATCAACGTGCCTCTAGGGACACGGTTTTCTCAATCTCGTGTTTCGACCATATGCAAATCACCGCGACTAGCATCCCCAACTCGCAGCACACTTCTGTCAAGCTCTTCTCGAATCGGCGTCCGCCCACCACGTGATAGGACAGTCATGCACGTAAATGACTGGACCGGACAGTGCAGCCAACGTCCGCGAGTCACCGGACATGTCCAGACAATGTTCTAGCTTCATGCTTCGGTAAGATAGTGATTACCCGATCGGCCGCATCATTGCCAGGCGTTGGCGGATCTTGTGCTGCAGACTCGCCTCCTCCAAATGAGTTTGGCAGAGTTGCGCTCCGCACAAGATGCTGCACGCAGAAGTTGGGTGCTGCCCTTACACCATGGCTTCCAGAACATGGCAGCGCAGTGGAAGTAGGTTTGCTAAACAGAGAGGGAGAGAGAGCTCACAAGAACCCAGTGCGCGTTCGCGCGCGGGGCACACTAAAGGGAACAGATCTCCTTGCCCAAAAAGGGCCCACCAGGCGCACCAGCGCGGACCGTCGTGGGGTTGGCCTACGGGCCGGGGGCTTGCCCCAGACCCCTAGCAAGCAAGCAAGCAAGAGAGAGAGAGGCAAGCCCTGTCCCTAACCCTGGCGAAAGAAAGAGAGAGAGATAGTGTGTGGCGCCCTCTCGAAGCCGCTAGCAAGCAAGCAAGCAAGCAAGCAAGTGTGTGTGTGTGCTGTGGATTATGCCACTGGTGTTCTCAAGATTCAGGCCAGGATCCCTTCCGGAGGCCAGAGCACGAGCCCGGATGAGATATCACCACAGGGGGTGGCCATGCGGTGTACAAGGTTGTACATGGTTGGGGATCCGTGCTTCTCTGACCCTGCAAGTTTCACAAGATTTTGGACCAAGAACTTAACTTGAGATCAACCGAAGATGGGCGTCCCTTGAAGGCACCTCCTACGCTTGAATCCCGAAGCCAGGGTGAAGTGTCAACGGCTTTGCGCACTTACGCTCTCCACGCTGGCGCCGACAGCGTCATGCTTCACAGGTCCAGACCTTAGTGAAATGCAAGAGTTGGTGCAAATTTGCTGGCAGTGCTATGACACCGCGTGACCCGACGAAGTGAGCCCCTGAATCTCCTGGTCGTTCTTCCCCAAGACTTTTCTGCACAGTCGCAATTCAAAGTTGCCCCAGGACGAGCCATCATCTGAATACTAGGCTTCTGCCACCCGGTTCCAAGTCGACCTGACTTTCTGCAAAGCTGAAGGTTAGAAGGGCAAAGCTCTCGTTTCCCTGTAGTTACTACGCAATCGGCGCTTCCAATTCTCTTCCTAGCTAGTCACCACCTCTGCAACAACCACCCACGACGACTACTACCGCCGCAACCACTACTACTACTAGTGACGCTGCTAGTGCTAATGCTGCTGCTGCTACTATTACTGCTAGTGCCAGCTCCACCACCACCGCCGCTGCTACTCCTACCACCCATACCGCTTTCACTCCTACTTATAATCACTTCCCTGCCCATAAACACGCCCTTAACAACAATAATGCTTCTGGGAAAATCCCACTGAAATCATTCAACCCTTTGAAACTTGCTGATTTGGATTAGGAAGGAGCAGGAGCCAGGGCAGGAGCGACAGTAGAGACAAATAGCCCCCCGTTTAATATCAATATCAGGTTAAGGCATTAATATACTGTAACAAGACTAGTTAAACTAATAGCGATACTAAAAGCATTGGCAATAAGAATAAGAAGAAGTGTTTCTAAATGGTCTTCGGATACTGCCACGCGGGAGCCAAAATCGGCCTTTGTAATGATTGTTGTTGCTGTTGTTGTGGTTGTTGTTAGTACGTTGTAGGTTCAATGAGCACTGCCCAGGAGCTCTCGTACAAACGACGAAGATGACCTTCGCTCTGGACAGCGTCGATGGCAGAACTGCAGTGCACTAAGACAAAGTAGAGCGGCCAGGCGTGTTGACAACTCCCATCAGACACAAGCTGCACGGCGGTGTCATCTGCTCCCCGGAGAAAAACCCAGCTCGTCCACGAGGCCGCCCACTTCACGCTAGGAGGTGAAGCAGCCTCGCTCACGACCCAAGCACCGTAGCGCTCCTCGACCCGTCATGTCGGCCTGAGACATGCTGAGACCAGGACGGACCAGGCCACTCTCCGACCGGGCGATGACTGGCCCCCTTCGAGTGGCACCCGCGTGGCAGATACACTCTACCTCGCATGCAGTGGCCTGCTTAGCCGATGTGTCGAGCTACTACGATGCTCACGACTTCTGCTTCGGGGCCTTTCTTCATGAAGATGTCTTCCTGTTTGTGGAGCTTCTGCTCTCTTGAGCTTGTGGAGTTTTTCCTGGCCAATTATGTTGAAGATTTGGCTACGACACTAGGATGAGCTTGGCTTCTTTAGGCTGCACCTCTTTGTAATTAGCTGGGACGAAGCTGCTGGGCTTTGCCATCCCTCTGGGCAAGGATAGTGGCGCCTACCAGTAGCCTGCACAGTGTGCCGCGTGCAGTACACACACATGTGTGTACATAAGAATGATATACTGTAACTGTGTAAACGTGTATATACACAAAAATGATAAAATTGTGTTAATGTGAGAGAGACCCTGGCAAGCGGCGATTTTTGCGCCGTGTGCTGTTTTTATTTAGACAGCTTGAAAAAAGCAGCGGACCTCAGTGCTGCCATTAGCGTGCATGCTGTGTGCTTTGTGAAGTGCTACGTCAATTTTTCGAGTCGCCGCTGCCGCCCCAGTTATGATCCTGTATGACCGCATCTCCTGTGACAGCGATGCGAGGTGTGCGATCACGAGATTCCCAATGGACCGTGCCAGTTTGATGGGCAAGACAGAGAAAGGGTCTTGTACCACGGTATGTAGTGTGCTCTCAGGGCTTCTTTGCCTGAGCTCACTGCATGCTGCACATCACTGCCCGTTGCACGACGCCATTTTCTGTCGAGTTTTTACGCCCGCATCTTTTTCGCTGACAGCCCGTTTCCCCAAGCCATGCTGCTGCTACTCCTTGCAACTTCAGCATTCCTCCAGCTGACTGAGGGCATGGACATCACGCAGCAGTGGACCAAGTACTATTCGGCTACCGGGGCTGAGGTTCGGCTACGCTCCATGGTTCCCGACCAGGACGAAAACTACTTCGTGTGTGGGACGCTTTGCTTGAAGACTTAAGCCCCTGCATAGTATCCCTGTGCAGAATCTTCATAGGTCGCTTGTGCTTGCCACGCGCTAGGTACGGCACAGGCTCCTTCGTCGATAATTCTACGCACGTCGGAATGGTTGATGCAATCCTCGCCAAACTTGACGCATCAGGAAACCTACTCTGGAGCCATCAATTTGGCACGACCGACGACGACTATGCGGAGAGTGTGGCAGTGAGGCACAACAGGATCTACGTCGTGGGAAACACCGGCGGCGTCATGCCAGGGCAAGAGAGTGCTGGTTGGGCCGACGGTTTCATAAAGGCTTTTGACATCTCGGGCAATGAGGCGTGGACTATTCAGTTCGGATCCAACATGGACGATCATCCACGAGTTGTGAAGACAAGCCACGTCGGTCATGTGGTGGTGGCCGGCCACACCTGGGGGGGGCTTTACACCAGAGTCACTGCTGGAGCTGCCGACATGTTCGTCGTGATGTACGCCTCGAACGGAAACCGAATCTGGCGTGCACAGAGAGGGAGTAGTGGAAACGAACTCGCCTGGGCAATGGATCTTGACACCAGCAATGATGTGTACATTGCTGGGGACACCAGTGGTGATCTGGACGGTCAGACATTGGTTGGAAGCCAGGTCTTGGTTGGGGAGGGCAGCTTCGGGCTTGTGTATGTTCCATTATATATACATACATACATACATACATACATATATATATATATGTTTATTTATTTATTTCGTACGATTCTATGGGATTCTGGGATATTCACGTGCTTGCTGTACTGAACCGCTCCGCTGCAGGATATGTTCCTGATGAAGTTCCGTGGTAATGACGGCACGTGGCTGTGGACCATTACGAAAGGAGGCACTGCCAGTGATCGTGGTCGGGCTTTGTGGGTGTCCAGCCAGATATTTCTCCTGGTTGACACCAAAAGTACGCTCTATGGTTCGGAGGTCTCCAACTCGACCTGGGATGTTGCCCTCATCAAGTACGACCTCGATGGAAATGAGATCTCCGGGGCGCAGGTGGGTGGTGCCAACGAGATCTATGGGTACGACCTGAAGCCAGCATTTGCAGGAGGTTGGTTCGCAGCAGCACGCTTGAATCCCACTTCCGAATCGGTTCCGACACACTTTGCAGTGCTCAAGTTCGATGAAAGCTTAGCACATGAGTATACCTTCTCGGCCGGGTGCACTGATGGAACGTCTCTCGGATGGGTAGTGGAGCCTCATTGGAACGGCTCTCTCATGGCCGCTGGCTATACGAATTGTGCCCTTGCACCCGGTTCGGATGGGCCTACCGATGGCAATGACGACATGTTTCTGACGAAGTTCGTGCCTGGCTCACCCACCACAAGCACCACTACAGCGGCAGGAGATAGTAGCACCAGTTCGGGGGACGGAACCACGGCCTCTCCAGACAACACGGATGGTTCGCAGGCGCCAGGCAATGCCACAAGCACTCTGCCCGATGGCATCTCAACCGATTCCTCAATTTCGGCTTGTGCGGGCGGCTTAGTTCTTTTTCTCTTGGCGTCGCAGGTGTGAAAACCCGACTTCAAGTTCCTAAGTGTTTGAATTGAATTGATGGATTTAAGGCTCCTCAAGGGACCATTCTGTACATGTACTTCGTGCGTAGTTTACAATCATACATCATCGCTCATTATCCTGGATGGATCTCAACGGCGAAATCTTGCCCAAACACCGGCTCTATACCCGACTGGATCGCGACAAAAGCACGGATACTGTCCGAGATGATGCACAATATGGATGCTCAATAGTTCTCGTGGCCAGGGAAGGCAATCACCAGGCTTTGTGTAATGAAACTTCTTTGTAAAGCCCGCCTGTTTACTGTATGCAGCCCGGATCTGCAGTTTGTGACAAAGATTAGAGCCACAAGCGCATGCAAGAGCATGTGCGAATTTGAGCATGCTAGTTCCAGTTGGGTTCTAGAGTCAGAGTCACTCAGTTCAGCTTGAAGTCATGCCCACCGAAAATGCATCTTGGAGCCCCATGTTCGCCTACTGGGCCAGAGCCGCTAAGTCTCAAGCCGAGAATCCTTCCTCGCGGCGGCGTTTGCGACATGTCTTGGCTTGCAGTTCCTTGCGGTGCCTCAGCCGCCAGAGCCTTGGGGCCTGCTTCCGGCTGCTGGGCCCTGAGCCTCCGAGGATCTCTGAGACCTTCCAGGCGAGACACTGTCGCTTGGCGTGGAGCAGACAGGACCGCGGGTCCTGATGGTTTGGGGAGGTCAAGCAATTCAAGAGTCTGAAACACACGTTTAGCCAAGCTGCGAAGCTGAAGTCATTAGGTTATGGGACAAGCAGCAGGCCAGGCACCTGATGTCCGGAGCTGAGAAACTGTTCTACTGTTGTGAGAAGACGCCCTAGAGCCTCGCTGAGTATCCTTAAGCAAGAGAGCTGGTCGCAGCCATTTTGGCCGGCTTTGGCCATGGCGGGCCTTTATGGCAGGGCATGGTTCGTCCGGAGGATGATGTACAACATACAGGTGCGTGTGCGAAGAGGCCGACTAGGGCTTTTTGTTCATCCTTAGCTCTCGGACGAACCATTGCTCCTGATCCGGCTCCCGGCTGCCCCTTCCACCGGCCCCTTGATGGCGGCCTGCAAGGCGCCATTCAATTTCGCAAGATACGAGGCCGGTCGGAGAAGTGGGAATGGGGATGGAAAAAGGGGTTACGATTCGGTTACGATCTGTGTGTGCTTTGCCCCCAAGGATCGCATGGTTCAGTGGGCCAGTGCGGCCACCAGCGCTCTTAGCCTGTGGTGCACGGACCTTGGGGAAGGATTACTTCCAGAGCTGGTGGAATGGATGGGATGGTCGGACACCGGTTTGCAGGTGCAGACGAACAGGAAGATGATCTTAACGCCTCCCGGTGAAGTTTGTGGTGTTTCCAAGATGATGCACGGGAAACCGGCAACGAAACCATCGGGTCCATGTCCGACGCTGTGGGCGGAGGAGGATACTCTGGAAGGGCAGCTTCAGTCAGAGATCAACAATGTGGCACAGTGGCGCTCCGACGCCAACGTGATCCAGGCGAGGGCGTATGCAGCAGCCTTGAACACCGCTACTCGTACGTCAAGAGCCGAAGCCGGCAACTCATGTGCCAGGAGCCGCAGAAGAAGTGCACTCTTCGCAAGCGCATCTTCGAGGCCGCCCGGAGGACCCGCGAGGACCCCCGGGGAGCTGGGCCGGGGGAGCCGGGCGTCTTGCAATGCAGGTCCCAGGTCTGAGCTTGCTTGGGACTTGGGCCGGGTTCTATGGTGCATGCGGAGAGGTCTCCATGAAGAAGGTCTTCGGCGTGCTGTGTGTGGACGACGGCTTGACTCAGGAAGACTTGGTCGAGGCGGTTTCTCGAAGCTGCACCGAAGTGCAACGAAATCCTTTCAGAGCTCCTCTCTTTCCTCTCTTTTTGCAGGACGGGGCAGATCTGCAGAGGTGCCATGTCGTCTGCCGTGGGATCACCCGAGAGAGGCTCAGGAGCTTCAAGGGTTTTTTGTGTCCAGCTTGCGGGGAGATTCGTTGCTTTACGCTGTAAGTGATGAAGAAGGCATGCCTGCAGCAGGAGCGATCATCTTGATGAGGAGGCCCTCGCATCCATCCGGGCGAGCTTGTTTCGCCTCTGTCAAGGCCAGTGACTCCGAAGTTCTCCCAAGCCATGGACCCAAGCCCCAAAGCCTCCTCCACAGTCCGCATCCTCATTGAAGGACACCGGCCTCTTGCCGGCCTCACTGTCGACCTGGGCTATCTGTGGATGAAGCATCAGGGCGCCCTGCGCCGGCTTGTTCCCCGGTGGCTGCTGCTGACGACGCCCCTTGTGCAACTGCCCTTGATCCGGACATGCTTCAGAACCAGGGATGCTACACTCCTGGTCGTATGGGAAGATGCTGCAGTCTCCGAGCTCAGCTGGCTGGAAGCATCGTCGAACATCCGCATCGATGGTCAGGTGGAGGTCATTGTTGTCCGAGCCTCCCAACCAGAGTGGTCCGATTTCCTGTCGAAGCAGACCGACCAACAGGAGCAGGCTTTGTTACTGGACTTGGTGGACAGGGTACAGATCAGGGTGGCGGAATTGTCTCGCAAGGAGTGCCAGCCGAAACTGCGTGGCGTGCTTGAACTTGTCTTGTACAGTAGTAAGCCGTGCTTTATAATTCAATCAGCAGACCTCATGTTCCTGAACCTGTCCGACACGTTTGCAACCCCTAAACAGCAGCGAAAATTACCGGCAGGACGTCGCTGTCAGCAGCATCCTTGTAGACGGTGCATTGAGCCGGTTCAGCAAGGGCTTGAGAAAGGCCACGCAGCTGCCTATCTTTGATGAGGCGGGTCGCATGAATCAAGTGAAAGCTAGGTTTGTCAGAAGACCGAACAGTAACATGCATTCTGTCAATTTGTATCTGAAGAGATCTGGCTGCTTGTTCCCGCGGCCTATGTAACAAAGGCAGCTGTTAACGTTTATTGCTGCTACGGGTTCAGCACCCATTTGGGTTTCCCCTGGAGTAGGACAGTCAGCATAGTGTCGAGGAAGCTGTCATTCGTTGTGATTTTTCGGTTGACTTTTCTGAGGGTGAGAGGCGGTGTGTTCTGAGTTCGGCATCGCTGAGATGTCGCCGAGGGTGATTGCAAGTCATTGTCTGAAGTATGCTAGCAGGGAGCCATGAACTCCACCACCAGGTTTCCATGATGGGCCTTTTCAGTGCAGCCTCCTCGCTGAGCGAGTTCAGCGAAGCCAGCGTGGTGAGTCGTTTGGAGGACAGGCTGCAACGGAGTGGCAACAGCCCCTCGCCGGTTTCTGCTCAGCAGATGTGTTATTTCATCCAGAGTTGACAAGGGATTTTCCATCTGTGCCGCTCTGGGCCTTTGCGAGGTCAGAACTCGGAGCGAGACCGACCGACAGGCCAGCTGGGAATCGTCCAATTGGACTCGTATGAGTACGTGCGGGCCGTGGGCGATGCTGACCATGAGAGCACCTTCAGCTTCCAGACCTGTCCACGCATGGCGGAAGGCTGGGTGGTAGTACTTTGACACTCTTTCTAGCTACAGCGGCAGAAGTCAAGACCGGACCATCAGGTAGCCCGAAAAATGCACGCACAAGAATGGACACCCAAATGTGCTGAAACGAAAATGCATGCACAAGAATGCGCCTGCACAGGTATTGATTGTGTTGGCATTTCCTAGACATGCCAGGAGATGCCAGGCCTGCCCGCACAATTCCCGATCAGGCATGGCCTGCCCAGGAAATGCTCGCACGATGCCTGCACAGCATCCCTGCCATGACAGTGCACGCATACAGCTGCCCTACACGAGAGTGCCTGCGCAGGCCCGCACATGCAAACGCATCTCGCGGCATTCTGACAACGCATTTGTTGGCTCGGTTCGTAGTTGGGTCGGGTGCTTTCTGTCATCACATTTCGCGGAAGGCACTAAGTTGGAGGCATTTTGCCAACTCATGTTTGGGCAAGGGGCACATGTTGGGTGCATTGTTTTGACGGCTGTCAAACCCCTGCTGTAGCCGAAGGAATTTCATTCATGGTAGCAACGGTGAAGGACGAGCGACCCGCGAAAGCAGATTTTCGGGCCCAGGGAAGCACCCCTCAGCAGGCTTGACCTTCGAGGCGGCACAGAAAGCGGCACAGGAGCCCGTGATGTTGGAGAGCTTGAAGCAGCTGGCCAAGGAGATGGAAACGGCGCACTGTTTCGGCATTGCGGGGAACTGCGGCTTCATGCAATTCTACCAGGCCCGAAGCCTCAAGCCGACTTAAGCCAAAGAGCTACGCAGTGGGCTTGGACACTTGGACTTGTAGGACTTAGGCGTAGCCACGTCGTGCAGGATTTGGTCAGGGAGGCTGTCAGCGTGCCCGTGTTTCTGAGTGCCCTGGTCCAAGTGCCCACGATGGCTGCGGCCCTCGACCCTCGCGACAGGCGTTTGCCCGGGCTTTCCTGAAATTTGAACTTGGAGTGTGGTTGAAAGAGATCGTAGAGCGAGAGAAGCACTAGATTGAACAAAGACTTTGTTGATTCGACTTTAGAGAGCGAGCCTGACAGCTAGACAGACAGAGAGTACATGTGTGCATCTTACGTTTGACAAACATGCGACCTCGAATCATGGAATCTCTTCCGCAGTCACCAGGATCTTGATCCTCACTGCCAATGAGACCTCCTTTCGGGAAGCGCAGGCAGCAGAGCCCTGAAGTTGAGTCGGAACTTCCTGGTGCTTTCAAGGTTTGCAAGGGACTTGTTGCGCTTCTGTGCCAGGGTGGGAGGCGCTCCTAGTGCATGAGCATGTATTTGATCACTTTTGTGCTGTGCTGCTCTGGGCGCGGGCGTCGTGCTGCTTTGCTTGGATCTGGGCTTTTCAACAGTTGGTCGGGGACCACGTTGCGTTGATTTGCGCTGTGCGGCGGAATGACACCGTTTGCTGCTTGCAAAGCTGGATCTCTGCAGAAATTACAAAAAAATAGGGGCATTTCATAGCTGCGTAGAGTTGAAAGGAATGATGCTTTGGGCGTCAGTCCATGAGTCATGTCTGTCAAATGGGCGACTCTTGGCCATGGAGGCACATGGAATGCAAAAGATGTTGGCCCATGGTGCTGTTTAGTCAAATCAGCTCCAGTTCATTTGAGATCCGCGTCACGTGTCTGCAGGTGCTGCACGGTGGAAGCTGACTAGCAATGAATGTCGGAACTTCGAGTTGGGTGGCTAACCCCAAAAATGCAGCATTTGTAGTTAGTGGGCTTCGGACAAGTACAGGGTAAGCATTCTCGTTCGACATATTTTCCGGCACGACGTTTTCTGGTTTCTGGATTGTTGGCGCAAAGTTGGAGAGCGACTGCGGTACTTGGACTGCAGCGTCGCAGCAGTTTGCAGCTTCCTTATCATTCATTCGGCTTATTGAATGGCGTATTGCAGAAAGCTTCCCCCAGAGTCTAAGATTGACAGATAGCTGCACATTAATGGGGGGTGTTTTTCGGGAATGGGTGGGCAGGAGGGAAAGACTTTCGGACCTTCTGCGAACAGGAGCTCCTGCTGCGCGCAGAGTGCTGCAATGTGGCTTTGGATCAGATCGTGGTGAGAGGATGCGAGGATGTGCCAGGCCGCACCGACAACGCTTCCCCTTCGGATCCCTTCAGAAGGAGTCCTCCACACCCCTCCGTGAGGTTTCGAGGCCGTGGCCGAGATGGAGCAAGTGGACACTCAGAAGGTGGAAAACAGCCTCAGCCAGTTTGTTGAGGTTGGGGTGTCCGCCGTGCGTGAAGCCCTAAAAGCCTTGATGGGTTTAAGGGGCAGTCGTGGCAGGAGATCCTTGCCGAAAGCGATGGTGCTTTCATCAAGATGATCCTTCTGGAGTGCACGGAGTTACCCCATTACGCCGCCAGACTGCGCCGAGTCAGTGGCTTGCCCGTTTTGGATCTCGTTACATGTGCCAACTTTTTTGCCAAGGTATTGGTAGGGAGCTTTTGATCGGCTAAGGGACTACCCCACTGCAGCTCTAGATCGTAGCAAGAGCGAGTTCGACTAGAGGAACTTCGTAGGGGCCTTGGCGGGTGATCGGCAGGGGCAGTCCCTTTGCCGGTGTTGCTCTAACGAATTGGTGCGCAATTCCGCTGCCGGGAAGCCTCCCGGGAGTGTCACGCTGGCCTTCCGTAGGAGATGTGTTTTCACAGGGTCGAGGGGGCCTGTGCCTCTCTGAGGGCGAACAGGGTTGGGCCCGACAGTGGTCGCACTTTCTGCAGTTTTGGGCGAGCAACTGGCCGAATTTGCCTGGTTGCAGGTTTCTTTTCGTGGGGCACGGGGTCTTGAGGAGTCATGAGTACACGTCAAGACTACGTATCAGCAGTGCACCGCCAAAGCTAGAACACTTCTCCTCGTCACTCCGGCATTTAGCGATTTTGGAGCTGCCCACGATGTCCAGAGAAATGCAAAGCTTTTTTTGCTGAATTCACTGCAGAAGTGGTTGCCAATTTGTTGAGGGCCGAGAACTCGGCCGAATTCAGTTTGACATGCATCAGTCCAAATACCTCCTGTACATGATGTAAAAACTTGTACATAGTCCGTAATGCCTGTCAGCCAAGAACTGCGTGGACGAGGCATGCTTCTCAGCTCGAGACTCCTCGTCCACGTCTTGGGACACAACTCAGCCTCTCAGCTGGATCCCTGATACACTTCGAACCGGCCCACGTGATCTTCTGTTGAATCTCTGTAAGTCTTAGGAAAAGTCTTTTCTCTTCCTTCCCCCTCAAATTGTCAAAGGGACTCC